GCGGGGGCTGGAGAGACCCCATAATAAGGAGTTAGGGTAAAAGCACGCTGGAGACCCTGGCAAGGGTGTGAGAGCCAGACCACTCGCACTTCGTGTCTCTGAGGCTCGGTTTTCTCATCTGTAAAGGGGTTGTTGTGAGGGTTCCGTTAGGGTTCCGTGGGAGTTCGATAATGGTGCTCCTGGGAGTGTCGCGCCAGACGCCTGGAAACAACTAGGGGTGGGTGTGGGGACCCCAGATGAGGGTGTCTGGGTCCAGCGATGCGGGGGGAGCACCGCCCCCTGGTGGCGGTCCCTTTCGGGTCACCCAGACTACAGGCGGGGCGACGGGAAGGGCTACTTGGGGGCCAGTCGCCGTCCAGCCTCCAGTCGACTGGTTCCTGGCGCCGCGTCTGGGCGTCGGTCTCCGCCGCCCGCCGCGCGCCTCGATGTCTCCAGCCGCTTACGCGAGGGTAGGTGAACGCGATACCGCCGAGGCCAAGGGCGCGGGCGGCTGGACGGGGCGCGCGGGTGGCCTGGGGCTGGGGCGCGGGACTGGGAAGCGCGCACAGAGGGTCTCCCCAGGGCCGTAGGGATCGGAGGCACCCCCCTTCTCGGAGGACTCGCAGCCTCCGGGTTATTTCTGTCTTTGCCGGCCACGGGCGCTGCGACCGTTCCCGGTGGCGCAGAGATTCTCCCTCGAACCCTGCTCGGCGCCTGCGGGTCCCCAGCTCCTCCCCGCGGCTGCCCGCTCGGCCCTTGCCCCCAGCCTGGGAGGCGGGCAGGTGAACCGCCTGGATGGGTGAAAATGCGTTCCATCCCAGGGTGCGGGGATCAGGTGTGGGACTGGCAGGGAGGCTGGGGGAGACTTCTGGGTGGAGGTTCTGGTGAGGAGGAAGACATTCCGGATTAAGAATTCTTGGGGTCTGGGACAGAAAAGGACCTAGAAAGGAAGTTGAAATGTGGCCGCGCAGGTACATGGGCAACGGGGATGCCCCAAGCCCCCGTTGGCAAGAGGAAATGTAGGTGATGGAATAGGGAGACGATTCCAGGAAGAGAGCTTGAAAATCCGAGGTTGCCCTGGGGAGAGGGGTGGTGGCGATGGCGGGCTTGGCAAAAAGGCTAAGGAGGACAGTCCCCAGCTCCTGGCCTGTCCCACCAAACCGTCTGCCCAGCCGAATCTTGTTTCGGCCCCTGTTCCATCTCCCCTGGACGGTTCTTTTTTACATTTGTTTTTTAAAATATTTTATTTTTGAGTGATCTCCACACTCAGTGTGGGGCCCACGCTCGCAACCCTGCACCCTCTACCTACTGAGCCGGCCAGGTGCCCCTCCCTTGGACTAATCTTCCGTTTCCACGTGGGAAGTAAGGATAATGTTCCTATGCATTGATCTCGAGCACCTAAAACGTGCCAGGCACACCCCTTACAACTTGATATGTGTTCCCTCATTTAATCTTCACAGAAATTAGGGGGTAAGCTTTGTGGGCACCCCCGTTTCACAGATGAGGAGACTGAGGCACAGTGAGGTGAGGTCACAGCTAAAGTGTAGCAGAGTTGGCATCTGACCCCGAAGCAGCATGTTTGGCTCTGTGGTCTGGGTCCTTACCACTATATCCCACGGACTGGCAGAGATAGGGACCCAACAGAGGAGAGGGAGCCCCAGAACTAGCAGGGTCACGGTTGTCAAATATTTCAACGTTTAACAGCGCAGGTGATAGGAAACAGGAACACGAACCAGCTTTGGGGTTAGCATTCTAGTTTTTAGCCTTTGACCCCCTCGCTTTGTCCCCACAATGACTCAGTCCTCCTTGAGAGATGGCTGATAACCGGGCCCTTCTGTGTGTCAGGCAGGCCCTGAGCTAATACCTTTTGTAGCTTAAACTCCCTGCATCCTTGTAATAAGGAGACAGAAAGGTTCCCCTACAAATGGCCACACAGCCCAGAACTGAGGAGTTGGATTTGAATCCGGGCGGTTGCTTCCAGAGGCCTTGTTCTTAAAAACCGTACTGACAAGATACTGCATGTTGTGCCCATTTTACAGACGCCCAAACCGAGTCCCTCTCCCAAAGTCCAGGGCTTGAAAGGGGACAGACCCAAGGGGAGACTGCTGACTGCAAAGCCCATGCTCCGGAGGATCCATTGTTTATTTAAAGCTTCGGTGGATTGTGAAATTCATAACTGAGTCCTGCTTTTTAAAAATTTTTTTTTAATGTTTATTCATTTTTGAGAGACGGAGACAGAGAGTGAGTGGGGGAGGGGCCAAGAGAAAGGGAGACACAGGATCTGAAGCAGGCTCCAGGCTCTGAGCTGTCAGCACAGCGCCCGACGCGGGGCCCGAACCCACAAACTGCCAGATCATGACCTGAGCCAAAGTTGGACGCTTAACCGACTGAGCCACCCAGGCGCCCCGACCGAATCCCGCTTTTATCATTTCCAACATGTACATTTTTACATCTCTGAACTTGTTACACACCTTACAACGGATGACGGTTTTTTGTTTCTCAGTGGTACGTAAAATAACCTTCCTCCTAGTGTTGCCGGCACCTTTGGTTTAATGAATTACCAGGGATCTCTGAGTGACGTTTCCGGGGGGTCTCTCTCTTCTGTTCCACAGACTCCTCTCTGCTTCAACTGCTCCATCCTCACTGGAGACATGTCCCCGACGGAGGCAGGGAGCCCGGTGCCCTGCAATGGCAGTAGGGCCTGGGGGGTCTTTGGCCCTGAGGACTTGAACCTGACCGATGAGGAACTGAGACTCAAGTACCGGGGGCCCCGGCAGACGGAGCTGTTCGTGCCCATCTGCGCCACGTACCTGCTGATCTTCGTGGTGGGCGCCGTGGGCAACGGGCTGACCTGCACCGTCATCCTGCGCCACAAGGCCATGCGCACGCCCACCAACTATTACCTCCTCAGCCTCGCTGTGTCGGACCTGCTGGTGCTTCTCGTGGGCCTGCCCCTGGAGCTCTATGAGATGTGGCACAACTACCCCTTCCTGCTGGGCGCTGGTGGCTGCTACTTCCGCACGCTGCTCTTCGAGACGGTCTGCCTGGCCTCGGTGCTCAATGTCACCGCCCTGAGTGTGGAGCGCTACGTGGCCGTGGTGCACCCGCTGCAGGCCAGATCCACGATGACTCGGGTCCACGTGCGCCGCGTACTCGGAGCCATCTGGGGCCTCGCCGTGCTGTGCTCTCTGCCTAACGCCAGCCTGCACGGCATCCAGCATCTGGAGGTGCCCTGCCGGGGCACGGTGCCCCACTCAGCTGTGTGCACCTTGGTCCGCTCGCGGGCCCTCTACAACCTGGTGGTGCAAATCACCACTCTGTTCTTCTTCTGTTTGCCTATGGCCACCATCAGCGTGCTCTATCTGCTCATCGGGCTTCGGCTGCAGCGGGAGAGACTGCTACTGCTCAGGCAGGAGGCCAGGGGCAGGGCCAAGTCCAGCGAGAGCCGCAGGTTTCAGCGGCTGCAGGATCAGGGTCGGACACAGGTGACCAAGATGCTGTGTAAGTGTTGCGGCTGGGAAGAGGGACTGAGCCAGGCCCTGGGTAAGGGGCTAGAGCTTCCAGGACCTGGGGGCTGAGTGTCTGGGTTTGAGATGGGGGCTGAGTGTGAAGTTTGAAGTCGTCACCGCTGCCGCCCACGCCGCCCTGTGTGTGTGCACGCACCTGTGCGATTACTCTGTAAGAAACTCAAAGATAAACGGCAGGATGGGCCACATAATTTGTGGGGTCCAGTATGAAATGAAAATTTGGGGTCCCTTGTTCAAAAATCATTAAGACCGTCCAGGCAAGCGGGGCACCTCAGTGGCTCAGTCGGTTAAGCGTCTGACTCTTGGTTTTGGCTCAGGTCATGATCTCACGGTTCGTGGGTTCAAGCCCCGTGTTGGGCTCTGTGCTGAAGGTGTGGAGCCTGCTTGGGATTCTCTCTCTCCTCTCTCCTTCTCTCACTGCCCACCCCCCACTCGTGCTCTAAATCTCTCTCTCTCAAAATAAATAAATAAACATTAAAAGAAAAAAAGACTGTCCAGACAGCAATAATCGAGCATAAACTAAGCCACGAAGCCTAGGGTCCTTCTAAGCTTGGAGGCCTGTGCAGAAGCTGGTGCTGGTTCGTGGAATCAAACCACAGAGAGGGCCGGGGCATGTGGGTGGGTTCCAGGATGACAGAGCTGTTTGTGGGAGCTGGATCTACAGATCTCTCATCTTTGCTCCTAAACACGTCTTGGCTTTGTCCTTCCCTATAGCAGCCTGGGAGGCATGGCCATGGGCACAGAATTCCCCTTTCTTGAGGAACTGCCCTCTTCCCTTAATGGCTGTTGAAAAATCCCAGGGAAGGATTCCAATTGGTGGGCTTAGGTCATAGCCCGCCCCTGGCCCAGAGTGCAGGATGCTGAGGTTTGCAGTCCCCATGGATTCACGTGGTGGGATCTGGGGGGAGCAAAATTCCCCAAAGTAGGGGAGCAAGGTGTTGGAGAGGCAAGATGATAAATTCCCTCCATGCTATATCTCTGGTTCCTAGGGGACCACAGGAATGGCCACCGCTGTCTAAAAGAGTCTCATCAGGGGGCATATTTGTGAAGGTCAGGGCAGAAGTGTGGATTGGGGCAGGCCATGGCAAGCCCAGCTGGGTTGAGGCTCTGGGTGTTATTGTCATCTAGATCTGGCTCTTTTTCAAAAACAGTGGCCTGGGGAAGCCAGACAAAATGACACTAAGCCAATCACTGATTTCGTCCCCATCCTGCCCTACCCTAGCAGGGTCTGAATCGGGTAGGTGGGGTGAGCCAGGGCAAGACAGAGCTAGTGAGACCCTGGTCAAAGCCGTGGGATTATATAGGGGACTGCCCCATTCCCAGTGAGAGACCCACTCATCGTGCCCCCCAGAAAGTGTCCCAGAGCCCAAGGCCACTTGTGCTGCTCCCTAAAATGAGGCTGACCCCAGAGTTCCATGCTTGCCCCTCAGCTCTGTGAAGCTTGCACTGCAGACAACCTGCTCCTTGCCCATTCTGCCTCTGCTTTCTACTTCCTTCCTTGTCCCGTGGGGGTCAAGTCTGCTCAGCTGGGATGGCTCTCCCCCTGGGAAGTTGGGGTGCTTCCTTAAGCCTGCCTTGCTTGCTGGCCTGGGGCTCTGGCTTTCTCCTTTCCCCACCTCCCCGGCTCCTTCCTCCACCTTTACTTTCTGAGGGCCTGGTGGGGATATTGTAAGCAGCATCCTGATTGAAATCCTGGATTAGGAGGGAAAACCGTGCTGGGGTGTGGTGGGGAAGGCACTGCAGGGGAAAGATAGTCACAGAAGCAAACATAAGAAATAAACAGAAATCGAGGCAAGCCCATGAAAGAGACCCCAGGAAGGGCGTGGCTGGTCAACACCACAGCTGGAGGGAAGCTCTGGGAAGCTGGGTGAACTCTTAGAGTCACCTAATTCCAAACTCTGTGGTGAGAGAGCCAGACTGGGCCAGTTTGGCTCAGATGTCCACACCTGGTCCCGTTGACTGTGGCTGGGGGGGGTGGGGGGGAAGGGGGGTAGAGCACACACCCACTG